ACTGCTTAGGTTTTAGTTTGAGCATTAGAGGAAGCTAATTGAAATATGAAAAACCAATTTCCCAAAACAATCTTTACATATGACAAGGATTACTTAAGCTCTTCTGTGTAACCCAAAATGCCCCCAAACCAACAACAAAACAAAACCCACCCCTCCAAAACCAACCAACCAACCAAAAACCACATCAAAAAAACCCCAACTACCAACCCCCAAAAAAACCCAAATTGGAATTTACTCCATTAGAAACATGTTCACAAATCTCTATTTCCAAAACGGGAGCAGTGGTGCTCAGATTGAGCATGAAGCCATGTACCGTGAGACAGAGGATATCTCCTCCCTGCCTGTGATACACACCTCGCCTGGGGACTGGCAAAGTGATAGAGCAGCCACTGCAGGCAGGGCTAAGCTTCAATTGAACTTGGCTCTAGTTTTTAAGTGCAGAACAATAACTTCACACCTATCCTGAAAGATTCCCGAAGTCATTTTATAAAGTAGGGGAAGTAGATGTGCTTGAAGTACCTGTGAAAGAGCATACAAAACTAGGCATGAAAACTACTTCCTCTCTAGCCCAGGCAAACCCTTCAAAAGAACACGGAATCTTTTGTCCAGAGACCTAACAGGACCTTTGATTGTTTCTTGGGTTTTTTAGGCATCATTTTCACTCTCAGTGGAGATTCTGATCCTTCATCTTACTACTTTACTGTAAGTCAAGTGATTGTAGCAGAATTAGCAAGACTGGACTTGTGCAGTGGGAAATCTGTCCTTGGGAAGGCACCAGTCATTATTAATACTTGAATGGAGGAAGAAAAGTATCTTATTGTGTATTTAATCTATTTTTAAAATGCTAAAAAAGCATATGTTAGTTCCTGATAGTTGTTATTTTTTGCTGTACATGTTAATTTGCAAAAAAAAAGAATATACATTTTGTTAAATTAACCTCTGGTAATGAAAATAAAATTCTTTATTGCATTAAAAAAGTAGCTTTAGTACTCTCGACATTCTCAGAATAAAATTATATATATATAGAATACATATATATATATGTTGACAAGAACTGGGAAGCTCTGAAAAACTTTTATTGTATACTCTGCTTATTTCATTCCTTTATTTGATCATTTCTAATAAAGGAAACGCACTTATCGAGTTGAAAGTTTTGGTCGTTGTGCCTCGTTCTCTGAAGTACAGTTATTAGGTTATAAATAGACCAAGAGTAACAAATGCATTTCAAGTACAACTAAGGAATTCAAGGGAATATTTATATAGGTTTAATATTTTGGAGAAAAAGAAAGCAATCCAGTTAACTTCCATTATTTTACAAAATTTAACTTTGTGCCACCTGGAAACTGACAGTCATCTCATAAAGAAAAAACAGAACAATTTTCAGACCTAATATAAAAGAGGCAGATTGTTTCTAACCTCTTCCCTGATGAGAGACTGCTAGACCAAGCATTTGCTCCTTTTAATCCAGCTGTCTGAAGAGCACTTGTTTAGCTTTCTAACCATGGCCTCCTATTGGTAGCTAGACTCTTTTCTAGGAAGCCAAAGAATGCATTAGAAGTATAGAAATATAACTAGAAACATAGAAATGTAAGCATTCACTTCACTGCATTTGCTGTGCTCGTACTTTTAATGATTTCAAGAGTGAGCACGGCAGCACTGCTTGGATGGAGCTTGTGCCCACCCTCCAAGGACAGCCTGCTTTGCTAGGTGGTCTGCACCCTACCTATAGAACCCTGTCACTTAAAGCCTATGAATGCAAAGCATAGCATGATTTATTGCTGTTTAACTTTATATAAAGTAACTGCATGGGTGGGCGTGCAGTTTATAGAGCATTAACCTCTACCATAAAAAGTAGTTTGTAACAGAAAGAAAAAAAATAGTAGTCAAACGGTTGTAAACACTTGCTTAAAATGCATAAATTTTGAAATACATAGTTAACGAATATTCTTCTTTTACTCTTTTTAATGTTCTCAAACATTAGAACTCTTTTCCCCCTTAAATCTCTTCTTGATGAAAAAGGAAGGTTTACTTTATTTTTCCAGTTCTTCCTGGTTTAATTTTTTTTCTTTTATCACTGCAAAGAGTTAAAGGCTTCCCCTTGTTTTCTCTACCCTTTTAACAGCTAATTGCTGACTGACACCTAACAGAAAAAAGAAAAGCAGTCTAGCAACTCTGTGCCTCCTTAGTCCTCTCTAGCCCCACGCAATTGTTTGATACCTAAAATAAAGGCAGTCATCAATAGCAGCCAGTCACCTCAGTCTTTTTTTCTCTCTTCAAATAAACATTGCATCTCCAACAACTTTGATGCAGCAAGTGCTGCAGCTCCCTGATTTCCAGGAGGAAGCAGGAAGTTTCCTTTCCTCGCTTTCCTCCTGGCTGCTCATTTTTCACTTGAAAAGGAAGCTGGTGACTCAATAGTCTGTGGCCCTCTTAGCATTTCACCCTTTACAAGCATTTAAACTTATTTTTCCGTATTTAATTTCCCAATATTGTATTAATTGTATCTTTGTTGTTAAATCAAGAGCTAAATCATCTCACTTAACCATTAATCCTAACAGCACTCATCAGATTAATTAGAACATGGCCATACACTACAGTCCCAGTCACTAGAACTCTCCCTCATGCTCGGCTGCCTTAAGGCAGTATGGGTGTGACCTGGCTAATTATTCTGTGGAAATGGCTTTGTACTCTTTTTCTAAAGGATGCCTTATACAGGATAAAATCAAACCACCAGTAAGTTAGTCTGGACAGTGCCATTTCTTCCCTCTGGGTTAGATCTGTGGTTACAATGAGTGCACACAAGAAACAACTGTTGCTTTGTTTTCCTTACCCTTCTTTTCTCTGCCATGCATCATACACCAAAACAAATTAGCACAGCTTTCTGCTTTGGGCAATGCCCATGCGGTGGGGAACAGAGCAGGCCATGCTACTAAGGTCTACTGGCACCACAGTAAAGCCCACAGGCACTAGGTCATCTTTTACACAAATCTGGCTCTTCACAAAGAAAGCCCCTACTGAAGCTTGAGTACAGAATTCTCCATATAGAAGCATAAATTCGGTATTAGATTTTGAAACGGTTTTTTGACAGATACTTGAGGAAAAGCTTGGCAAAACCCGTATTTCCAAGTCCTGGTTAGCAGTCATTACCTAAGCTCAGACCAACCTTTAGTGTTAGGGCCATCTAGTGGGAGAGGAGGCACGGACAGGGAGGCCAGGACATCCCGATTTTTCATCCTATTCATCTGTGGTGTGGCCTCCGGAACAATGATCAGCAGATCACAGCCAGTATTGCATACAAAGGACAACACGACTTTGAGGGCGACTTTAGGAAAAGTGTGAAGTAGCCCTTGAAATTCGTGAAGCTGCTAAGGAAAGCAGGCTGTGCCTACACTGCAGGACCCAAACCACAGTCAAGATAGAGGGTTTCAAAGAGGATAAAGACAGGGGGCACAAAATATGGCATGATTTTGTGGATGCAAGCCTGCTCAGCTATTGTCTATTCCAATTTGCCTGTTCACACTAATTCTTGTCAAATCCACAGCAAAAATGCAGTAGGATGAAAGGCTTGTGCAAGTCTCTCCCACTTGGTTTAGGCTATTCAATACAGCTGTGGGATCAACCCTTGGGGCCGATTTTTATTTAATAAAAGAATTCTTGAACCATTGTGGAAGATTATGCTACTGTCTAGTCAGTGTTAACAGGCATGTGATGCAAGAAAGTGGATCCTAGAGTTTGGAGACTTAAGCCCATTAAGTTTTAGGTGCCAGAATCTGACAATACTCCAAACACACTGAAAAGAGTCTTGCATCTTCCAGTGTTTCAAGTTCCTTACAGCAGAAGAAAGACTCCATATATAAGGTAGGTACCAAAATGATACTGAGTTGCCTCCCACACTTAACCCTAAAAACCTGAAGCAAAGCTGTATTTGTGCTTCTTACTCATTTAAAAGTGAATTAATGCTTTTCCTCCTGCTACTGGAATGTCAGAAAGCAATTAGCTTTGCCCACAGCTGTGAAAGAGGATGAACAACAAGAGGCAAGACAGGTCTTCAGACACAACTGATGAATGGTCTCCCTCATGCTACAGTTCAGAGAATCACTGCAAGGGTCACTTCAAATGATGTCCTTCTGGCTCTAGCAGGACTGAAAGTGCTATCTGAATGGTGTCAAGGGTATAACTCATTGACATACTTGGTCAAAGAAATAAATACATGGATCACTGTTTGAAAAAACATCAATGTTGAGCCTGAAAGCTCAATACAGAAAAGTGAACCATCTTCCAAATCATGTTTGGACAATTATCTAAGAATAGCACTTTAATGTAATTAAGGCTGCCTTCCAGTGTCTCTTCCTACTCCCATCATAATCCTATTCATCTACTTCTTTGGCATGTTGCAGCTTGAAGTTTTTCTTCTAATTGCCAGGGGAGAAGCATGAAAAGAACAGTTGGTCAAATGCTCCTGTAGATTACTGGAAATTCACTGTTATTATACAACACAGAATCTGCACTTGTAACCAAGTTTGCATGTTTTAATGTTAAGAACCTTAGAAAAGAAAAAGCTACCAGTTTATGATACAGAACCTGATAAGACATTGTATCCCAATCAACACCTCACATCTGCAAGTTAAGAGGAAGAACAGTGAGATTCAAACAAACAAACAGACAAAAAGCCCAAGACCCAGCAGTAAGATTTCACAGAATGAAGAGGCACTGAAATAAAGCTATTGTCTTTTCTCAAACAAAGGAGAGGACAATCCTCTTCTGACAGCAGAAGACACGACAGAGCTGATAATGTTTTAGCTAAATTAAACCTGGCACCATAAGAAAGTTAGATAAGTTTGTTTTCCTCTGAGGTGCTTGTACATTTGTTTTCCATGTATTAATTTATTTGAAGTATCACCATAAAAAAGAGAGGAACTGGAATAAAAAGCAGTATAAAACCAGAACACTTATTTACAGCTGATTAAGCATTATGAGTTACCATTTTATGTATAACAAAGCATATTTCCACATTCCTTTCTGGTATCTTAGATCTACCGAGAAACAGAAAATTTCTTACTTGACAACATACATATATATTTAACATAACAGCACCATAATCTGCAGGGTTTTTTTTTCTTAAAACTTTGCAAGCTGCAACATATAAAAATAGGACTACGGCATGAGATTGAGCAGGGAAATATTTTGATTCAATTTTGCATCACTATATAGGGACACTGAGAATAACGAAAAAAAGTTATGGCTCAGTAAGACAGTAAGATAGAAATATTTAAAAACAGATCTGAAGAGGCTGTATCTTAGTTCAGCAATCTTAAAGGATGCTTAGATTTCTGAAGAAACTCTTCTGTCATATCCTCCATTTTGTTCTCCACTGGAGCTGTAGATTTGTTCTCTTTACCCTTTTTGAGACTTCTTTTGTGCTGGGATTTAAAGAAAATACCCAATGTTAAGAGAATTCAAAGAAATTAAAGACTTCTAGCTCATGTGCAATGCAGTGGTCTAAGAAAAAAAGTTGACATAATTCCTGAAAAAGGTTCCTAATATATTGCATTTTCTAAGGAGATTGACTATAGACATACAGAAGCTTAGCAGTTGTTTTTAAAGGGTCCACAACAAGAAAATATGCTCTCCCCAGCAGGAAAATCCCAAGACTAATATACCAAGAAGTTTACAAATACATTGGTAGAGCAAAAGGGTCAGAAACAAGTAAGTAAGAAAACCCAACCCCATGAACGCCAATATTTCCGTCAGGCCTCTAAGAAAATACCCCGTGTACTTTCAACTCTGCCATTAACACATCTCTAGCAAATTATGACGATTTTCTTTATTCAAGATAATTTGCTGAGGAGTTTTCAGCTGTCTGCCCAGCTTATCAGAAATCTGCACTATTTTATCCACTATTAACTGCTATCAGAATCTGCTGTTACTTTAGATAATTCTTTGTTAATCTTGTGCTACAGGATTTGAACACATTGTGAGACTACCCTAAAATATAAGAAGTCACTTGAAACTACAGCACATGTTATGGAACAGCTATTTTGCTTATTTGTGGAAGTTACCTGGAAAAAAGGAATACCACCATTTGTGTGGCAATATACATTTGTATCCATTAAGAAATTGTCACAAGCAAGGTTTTCCCTGGGTTCTTGCAACTCTCCTTCCTCTTCCAACAGGTCCTAAAACAGAAGTTTTTCAGAAATATGTATTTAATGTCTGAATTTCCTCAATGAATGTATTAAGAGTGATCAGATCTACAAAAGACCTGGAACTTTAATTTCTGAAAAACAGGAATGAAATCTAAATTATTAATATCCTTGCTTATTTTTCAAGAGATTGTTTTTGTCAAAACAACTCAGCACACTTGAGTCCAAATACACTGTAAACCACAAAGGCTGTAACAACCCTGGGGTTCCAGTCAACTCTCCACAGGGAAATGGAAAACCTCAAAGATGTGGAACCCTCATTCAAGAGCCTGAATTGCCATTTATATACATACCTGACCTGCATTATCCTCCACCTCCTTTACCACAGCATCAAAAATTGGTTGCTTTTGCCTTAATTGCTCCAGAAGTAGTTCCCGGGGCTCTGTTCTCACAAGTGTGACTGGATAGAAGTAGTCTTTTCTCTGTGGAGTTGTCCCTTTAATGAAGATTATACACTTTTCAGTGTTTGTTTTAATTTCAGATCCCAAATTTTACATCAACTCATTACAGAAATCATGCTTTGTTCAGTCATCATTCTTTACATACATCTTAAAAAAAAAGGCTGCCTGTTACATTTTATTCCCATTAACCTTTACATATGAATTCTGGAACTCAAACTGTTTTCTGTAAGACCATTCTGTCCTGTCCCCAACCTGCTTAAATACCTGTTGGAACATCCACTTTGAGATCCTCTTGCAGGAAACCATTAACCTGAGTTAGTCCATGCTGTACTTCCTCCTTAAGTGCCTGCTTCTGCTCCACAAGTATCTCCTGATCCACCTTTATCTGATCCAGAAGGCTGTTTAGCACCTTCCCCTCAGCAGCTTTTTGTCTGCCAATGTAGTCAGCAATTTCAGCTCTTGATTTATCACAGTTTTCTTCATTTTTCTGAAAAAAAAAAAAAAAAAACAAAAAAACCAACCCAACTAAAACCACCACATTAATAGGAAAGGTAAGACTATGGCCTCTTTACTAAGGCGTGGTGCATGATTAGTGACATGACCTGAAACGAAACAACTGAGACCTCAAATTGAGAAGTTTCAGTGCTAGTTTTACACTGTCATTTTGAGAGCTATCTTCAGAAGAGACTCAGTTTCTTAGAAAGTATGATCATTTTAGAAAGCTAGTCACAAGAATAAAAGATGCCACATGGCTCAGATCAGACTCTTGATGCTTCTATGCACAAACCCTGCACAGAATTAGGATATTCAACTGAACATGAACATCCTACAAGTACTAGAATCTTTATGCATTTGTAGGGGAAAGGAAAAAAGTGTTTTCAGTCATTCCCATTGAAATGAAACTCCTGAACTGTTCAGCAGGCACAACAGATACAGAGACATCTTGAGACCACAAATGCTATTAGTTTAGAGTTGGACTTGATTCTTGGGAGATCCCTTGCAACTCAGAATATTCCGTGTGAAGGAAGTTTCTAGTTGAGTTTTTCCTTCTGAAAGTTTGCAAAATATTGGATTTGCCTATCTTACTGCCTATTGCAACAATAAAACAAGGGTGGGATGTGAAATTTGTGAAGGAAATTTTAAAAAAAGAAACCAAGAATGTGAGAGAAATTCTTAGATAAGAGGTCAGAGCTTGTATATACTTCAGAGGAATGCTTTCTCCCATATTGATTTAATCTGACTAATAAAGTAATTCACATCCTCCAGAAAATAGCCTGCATTTGATCACTGTGATCTTCCAAGGACAGTACTGTAGATAAAGCTTTAGAATTAGAGATAAACACTAACCAAGATGATGCAAAATGCTCAGATTACAAGTACAAGTTGCTATATGGCATTAGTCATGACACCATTTTTTGAGGTTATGGGCACTTGAAGTTCAAAGTCTTCCTCTTATTTTAGGCTTTTGATTTCTTCTAATTACACCTTAAACTCAGTAACATGAATCTGCTATCAAAAAAACCCATAGTTTTGTTTTGACTATAACAGAAAACTTTTTTCTCCCTCTACAAATTCTGTTCAAGTTCATCTCAGGATGTTGCATTAAACTACAAATGACTATAGGTACCTTTTGTAAATACTGAAACTGCTGTTTCTCATCCCTGAATGACAATAGCTGCTGATTAGTAAAGTTGACCATCTGAGCAGTTGTAAATTCACCCCATGCATTGGTATCCTGAGACACATTTTTGAGATTGCTGAGAAGGTGTTGACAGTGGTCATTGGATTCTTCCAGCATTGTCTTGTTTTCAGCATTTATGCTCCTGAGCTCTTGAGAGAAATTATCCAGAGATGCAGTAAATTTGCTGTGACTGGAATTAGTACTGCTGACTAGGTCTGTAGTTTTCCTGCAACAATATATTTGTAGGAGTTCAGAGATTTTGAAAGGTAGATTTTAACACAGTATACTTTTAGAAATATGAGACCAGAGCCAGTGAAATAGCACAGTTCTATCAAAACAGTTAATTATAATATTGTTGTTCTACTTACTAAATTCGCAGCACTGGCAGCAGTAGGTTTGCTAAGAAAACAAACAAAACCCCCACCAACCAAAAAAAACCCAAAAGAGAACCAAAAGACCCTAACCACAAATTAAAAACAACTTTAGCAAGACCTTAGTTACTCAGTCTGCAATTGAATGAAACATATTGCAACAGATACATTATTATGCTTCAAGCTAAACATTTATAATATGAAGTTTTGAGAGACACTCCTCAGCATATTGCTCCCAAAGTGATACTTTCTTATCACAACATGCTCAGGAGAGACAAGTTCAAGGGCACGCCTTTTGCTCCCCAATAGCAAACTACTGTTTACTGTGGGGAAAGGCCAACTATGATCTACACTCTGTGTCAGAATCCAGCTCTAATACACAGGCCATGCCCAGCAGGCTTTATAAGCACATAAATATGAAGAGCATCCAGTTTTGACGTTCCCTTCATATATAGTTTATCTGTGTAAGCGTACAGCAAAAAGAATCTGCTCCTTACAGGTGAACATTTTCTTGCACAGCAGTAATGGTGGTCTTCAGGCTTCCATTTTTTGTGAGTACATCAGTTAAGTTCTTCTCAGTCTGCTCAGCAAACAGGTCAAGCTGGCTTTGCAGTGAAGACATCAGTTCAGCTGCACTCTATCAAGAAAATTACCACGAGTTTCACTGTTATTCTGCACTTTTTAACAGTCTTAAAAGGTACTTGAATGCCTGGATTAAAAACGCAGAAAATGCAGAGTTTTGCAATTCTAAAGCAGAAGGTATAATTTTTGTGGAGTGAAGATACAGACACTTGGCTTTTGGAGACATATGTAAATGCACATATACTGGATATACTCACAGCAAAGGAAAGGGGGTTTTGCTACATTCCTACATAAACTACTTAAAGCAGCATAACAACAGCTGACTAGAATTAGGATCAAGTTAATGCCCTCATAACATTTTTCTGAAACAAGTATAATGGTTTACTACTACATAAGAGTTTAAATCAAAGCAAGCAATCACACTTGGCATTAGGATGTTTTCTTACTCTAAAGATACCTTTCTATGTGCCAACCTCATCATTTCCACTTCTTCTTTTAAACTGTCACAATTTTGCTGGAGCTGAGCAAAGCCACTGGCTGTTTCTTCCTGTATTTTTTTCAGAGTGAGAAAAAGATCTCCAAAGAAGGCATCCATTTCCTTTTTATGGTCCTCCATCTTAAAAAAAGTTTTACTTAGTTAGATTTTTATATCTTTATTTAAGAAAGTGGTATTTTTCCCTAGCATAACTGGCATAGAAACAAACTCTCAAACTCTTCCCCAAGGAAACTGTCAAAAGGCATTAAAAAAGTATTGTGCATAGAAGGCAGAAAGTCACACTTGGACACTTGGAACAATCTAAGGTTTGAGACTGTAACTTAGTGTGGGGGCTATTTCAAACACAAAATTTGACAAGCAAGGTAAACAAAATAGAAAAGATGACAAGGAACAGCAAGAACTGCTAAGTCATGGACTATCTGCTGTCTAAGTCTGAAAAACCAATAAAAAGCTTCCAGACAAAGGGAGCTGATTACTTATGAGCTGTAATTGACAGGAGGGGAAAATGTTTCAGTAAAAGAAACCAGTCACCAGAAACAAAGACTTATTTTTGACAAAATGGGGAGAAAAAAATGAAAGAGGCTGCAGTTCTACACAAATATCACAAGATAGACTAGAACTATAACTTGAAGCAAAGGGCTTCAATAAGTCCAGTATTGTTTGCACTTATGGTTGTTAGTAAGATTAAGCATCACATTCCCCAGGAATCAAAGGGACTATAGAAAAAATTTTGTACAGAAGCAGAAAAATTTTGATTAGTAAGACTTGCTTAAGTTGACTTTTTTTTTCAGATCTCTAAAATACAGAGGGAGAGTGTATTAAATGTACCATCAATTATTTGTTACATAAAGATTTAAACATCCATGTTTTACCATTCTACTGTGGCACTTAGGCAGGCAATTGTGCCAATATAGAGAACAAACAAATTTACCACCCTCAGGAGAGAAAAAAAGTCTGAAAGAGTTAAAAGATAGAATTCATGGGACAAGATAAAGAGGAAAAGGCCAGACAAGAATTGGAAACACTGACATACTGCAGAAAAAGAAAGAACATATCTTTAAATTAAATAAAAAAGAAAAGCACAAGGCAAAGAGACAGGTCACGTGCATTACCTGGTTAGTCACAGCAGAATATTTCTTAATGTTACTCTGGAACTGACAGTTTAACCCCAAAATAAATTCTACCACTGGTGTCAAGGTATTTACTGCTCTTCCTAATCCAGTTTGATGCTCCTCCTAGGAAGAGAAAAAAAAGTTAAACCAGAACATGGCTGTTCTTTCATGTACATTTGTAAGAAGCTACTGTGCACATATCCTTGTGCTCTATTATGACAGTATATGCTATATAGCACATTACAGCTTGTGGGGATGACATGGTAGGGGAAGTGGGGAGTGACAATCATCACCAGGTGATGGAGCAGATACAGGTAAAGAGCATCAGAAAAAATTCTACACATTTACAGAACCCCTTTTGATCAAAACCAGTTTCCAACATTTAAGTAGGAGTATGCACGTGTACTAACAATTAATCTCAGCAGCTCCGCTTTACAATCAAGTGATAGATTCTCATGCTGGGTTATTTTTTCAGACATGTGAGAAACTTCAGTAGACACCAATTCTTTAAGAGAGGCAAAAGATGCTGATACAACTGATGCAAGAGTATCTGCTGTAGAAGTACTGGTAGACAGGAGTTCACCTACAAAATAAATCCAGAGTTATAATTTTTTTAAAGCTTCCCTGTAAGATAAGAACTCTCTTTATTACTCATCATCTTACTGCCCCTTACAGGAAGGCTGTGGATCATCCCAGACACATTATTACCAGTGCAACTGTAATCATTATGTCACTTAAATAAAGCCACATTTTTCCTAAAACAAATACATTTTAAGAAATGGGTTTTGAGATTACTATATGATGAACTACTAATACAGGTATTACACTTACCTATAAAATTTGTGTAAGATGTCAACATCTGTTGCTGCTTCAAACTGTTTTCAGTAATTGAATCTTGTATTTTGCTGAACAATGCATTCATTTGTCCTGCAAATGTATTTTGGACAGCAGCATTGTGCAGATCAACAGCCTTCTTACGGTCCAGTTTGGCATGGAGCCCAGACACATCTCTTGTAGTTTCTTCAACTGTACTTAGTAACTGTAATTTTTAAAGTTATTTCAGTAAGTCTTTAAACAAGAAGTCAAGCACATATTATGTAAGGAAAAGCGACAACAGTTCTGAGTTAAAGAAGGTAAGTATTTCCCTTTATATCATCAAATTACAACTGTTCTGGACCCTGGTGTTATGTCATTTATGATTTTAGAACATGGGAAAAAGTTATCTACTAGAGACAATTTGTTCTGGCTTTAAAATCAAAGCATTAATAAATTACTTCCTCAGTATTTAAGGAAAAAAGGTATCATTTATCCCAGAATAGTAACTGAAAAATACCTGAGCACTTCAACCTTTTCCTGAACAATCTGACAGTAAATAGATTCTTAAATATAGTACCCAAGCAAGAGGTTTCTGGTACTAGTCGTGCTATAAATAATTTAGAATTCATACAAATAGTGGAGTCCTGGTTTGTAGAGCATAAGTAATATCTGTACCTATTTGTCTCAAACACTCCACAACCCACACATAAAAACCAGGCATTCCCTCCTAATCTTACAGGAATCCAAATAGAAAGAAATTGTCATGGTGCCTGAAGATACAAGTTTAATCACTTTGCAGTTTAAATAGCAGGACACTCTCTCTCCCTACCTCAAGTCTGTTTTGATAATTAGGACTAATTTACAAACACATCAAAGTCATACCTAAAAATACAGAGGTGACAGGGCAACATTATTCAAAGCTTTTTACTATTTTTCTTCCCCAATTCATAGAATGGTTTGGGTTGGAAGGGACATTAAAGTCCATTTAGTTCCAAGCCTCCTGCCATGGGCAGGGACATGTTCCACTAGACCAGGTCCTACAGGTAAGTATAATTTACTGTTTTGCAGGACCAGTCATAAGATTTTGAAAGAAAACTACTTATTCTGCAAAGAAACTCATGATAATAGATATTGCAAAGCACTGGAACTCCCATGACAAACTGGCCTGAGGTAAAGTTAGCTCCAGACCAACCAGAGTGTTTAGGAGTCAACTGTCAATACTAGCACAGAGAAAGCCCTGCAATCTCATCCTAGGTTTCCATCTTAAATTCAGGTCTTGTCTCACTCACATCATGCTTGAGCAACAATTGGTTTCCTTGAAAAGCCCATGAAACTCCCAAACAAAGGAAGATGTTTTACAGTAGGTACAAGAACTGTGACAACCTTGCTAGCTGTGCCATGAAGCTTTTGTTCAGTATTTTCCAAAACTGAAACCACATATTCTTCTTCAGCCAGTTGAACTTTGGTTTCTTGCAGATCTTTTTGTGTTTCTTCCAGTTCTTTCTCCTTGATTTGCAAGTCTGTTTTACACTGCTCAAGTTCATTTTTACTGACTCTGAACAGTTCAGTGACCTAAATAGGAAGACAAGTCATCAAAAAGCTAACACCACGTTTTCATAATTTGACAATTTCACATCTCTCAAATTCTGTGACAATGAGAGAAGGCAAATTTATCTAGCAATGTAATTTCAGCTGTAGGACTCAGGTCTAAAACCTAAGCAGCAGGTTTGCATAGTCTTTGTAATCACTGAAAAGATCAAGCCAACACTATTCTCACTGTAATAATCGCTCACTTCCCCTCCCAAAATACAAGAGCAAACTACTATTACAGCACAAGGAAAAGAATCCCACTGAACAAACATAAGCAGATAGACTGAAGAGTCAGTAAAGCTGATTACATAAAGGAGTTACATATAACAGCAATTTGATATCTTAAACAACTAGCTCTAATTTTCATGTGATTAGTTAAAAGGAAGCTCATGACCTCTCCCCCCTCATTCTTTGCTCCTAAACAAATACTTGTTAAGTGAGATGATACCATTTTACAATGGTATCACAGATTTTTTGCTGAAAATTCAGCAGAGCAAATTACAGTAGCAGATACGAAAACAGCTTTAAAAAAAAATACTGCAACCTGCAATTTCACATGTTATTTCAAATGCCTAACTTCAAGGACTAGGAAGCTTCCATTTTTGACTAACTGGGGAACTTTAAGACCAACAACACAAACAATCTTCTGAGTGTTCTTTCCTCAAAGATTTTTCCTCCTTTTGAAAGGAGGAACGAATTTCTTCAAATTTTTTTGACAGATTTAAGCCACAGTTGAAAAACATCACTTACCCTTTTCACTTCTTCCTCCATGACACTGATTTTGTCAATATACTCTGCAATTTGTTCTTCCTGAACCGTCAGCTTTCCATTAAGGGCTCTCAAGGGAGGATTAAAAGAAACAAAGAAATTAGTCAAGAGGCAGTTTCAAGATTTTACACTGCATTTTCAGTAATTTTGAAAAAAAAAAAGTATTGCTAAATTCTATATGAATAGCAGGTAATTTTCACTTAAGGCAGAAAAGATTTAAAACAAATTTCAGTTGTAAACCTTCTGTGCAAACTAGTTCTATTAAATAAAGTGAAGTGTATCAAGTTTATTGTCCTGTACTAGCTTCCACTGGAAAAAAAAAAAAGTTGCATGGGTAAATCCACATGCTGGGTAATGCTTATAAGTTCCACACATCCATAAATTCCTCAGTGCAAGCCTATTAGGTTTTATCTGCATAAAAATTAATTTTGAAAGAACAAGTTGACCAAACAGTTAAGTTTTCCTAACTATCTCCAACTTCCTGGATTAAAAATAGATCTGAAAGTATTTCTGTATAAAGATAGGTACCAGTATGTGAGATTTGTTGCTAGTTATTTTATAGAAATTTTGCAGACATACTCATAGTTTTCAACAGAAATATAGACTCCATTTTTCTCTCGAGCAGCAGCAAGGTCTCGCTTCAGACGCTCAATCTCTTCAGTGTATTCCTGCATAAAGAAACCATCACTTGTAAACCCGAAAATTTCTATTTTGGTTTCGATATTCAGCTTAACAGACACTCTCACAAAGGCAGTGCCCTACAGAAGTAGGCAGAGCTACTTTACAATGGCTCTACACTTGTACTTACTGACAAGTTCCCTTTAATTCAGGCACTTTCCAGGGAAAGTGCAAAATCGCAAATATGTAATACCCACAGTCACAGCTAGTAGCAATAGCTCTCTGTCCAACTTTAGTCTTATGAATAGTTCAAATACCTGCAGGGACCACTGCTGTATCAGTGCAGCTCTAGTTTAAAAAGCATTAGATCAGCAATTACAATCACTTCAGAAAAGCACTGCTACTAGTTACAGCTTCTCCCAGTCATAACTCCTGCACAGCAAAGACTACATTAAACAAAAAGTCATGCCTAACCTGTAACTTCATTTTTTAAGCTGTATGTCTAGTTACCTTAATAAGAGCTTTTTTTGTTAGCTTCTGATTAACTTCAGGCTTGTTCATTATGTTCTTTGCTCTATGGGCATATTCCAGTGTACTCAATGTTTCCTGTAAAAAACAGATAAAACACTAGGTCAAGCTGAGGAATTAACTCATTTTTGTATCATTAGCAAAATATATTACTTATTTTAGGAATAGGTTTTCAGACTTTAAATTTACCTCAAGATTTATAGATGCAGGCGAAATTGTGGCAATTATTGATGTTTTTGTCCGTCCTCCAAGAGAGTCTTGAAGGATTCTTGTGAGTTTAGATTCCCTGTATGGAATATGAGGGGCTCTTTCCACTAGAGCAGTAATAACTCTTCCTAGTGTCAGCAGAGACTGGTTGATATTTCCAGCTTCACGAGCTCTTTTGTCAACGGCCCCAGATCGACCAATATTTTCACTTCCTGCAAGATCAACCTGAAAGGCAGGTTATGCTTCTGTCTCAAATCACCCTGAACAATGTTTGCCCCAAAGTCTTGCAGAGCACATAAAAGAGCTTACCAGTTTTTCAGGGGACACTAGGGTGACAAATGGGATTGATATTTTTCAGAGTGACAAAAATACTTCATATCACTTTATGAAAACAATCATTTTTCCCCTTATCAGGAAAAAACTCTAATAAACTTTTTAGCCATGTAGTAGAATTTATCAATGACATTTAGTTCAAATACTTACCAAATTTAGCTTTCCAATTTTAACAAGCTCTTCTCCATCTATTGTTGTTTCTTTCATATGGATGGTAATTGAAAACACAGAGTGGGAACGGCTGCAAAAGAAACCAGTTTCAGATGTTCCATTAAAGCCAAATACCTAGTTGTTATATTACTGCTGCAAGTTCTGTGCTCTTTATAGAGAACACGTTTAGCCCATGAACTACAGATTACATTTTCAATACACAAAGTTATTCTGCTAAGTATAATTTTGTGTGCATATATATGAATATGGTATTTAAAAATCGGTGATGAAGCAACTGGTTGACATTCAACTTATTCAATCCTATAAATTTTATCTTGTTTCAAGGAAAAAAGAAATGCCGTGGTTTTGCTTACATTTGTGTATTCTCAACTCACAAGCACCTCATGAAAACTGACTTGCAGATTATTTTCAGTCCTTATGCTAGGAACAGTTTCACAGAATGTAATATTAAGGAACATAACTTTCTTTATGCAGGCTAAGAAAACGCAGCAACTAGCTGAATCCAACATTAAAAATTTAGAAGTTCAATTAATTTTTCAATCAAAAATAGTAATACAGATTAAGATCACAGAATCATGCAATGGTTTTATCTGGCTCCATCCCCCCTACCATGGGTAAGGACACCTTCCACTAAACCAGGCTGCTCAAACCCCATCCAACATGGCCTTAGACACTTCTAGGGATGGAGCATTCACAATTTCTCTGGGCAACAGGTTCCAGTGTTTCACCACTCTCATAGTAAAGATGATTTTAGGTTGAGTTTATTCCTTTAGTAAGGTTTTACTACAAGAAGGTGACATATATAGAAAGCCATAGATGTCAAATTACACTAGTCTGATCATACATAAAACAACACCTCAGGCCCAATAAATGCTCAAAATTCCCTAGAATCTCAGACAAAATGAGTTCTGTGTTCCAGTCAGTGGTAGAAAATACCCATTTCCTTCCACCAGTCAACAGACATGCTCAGTATATCTTGAAATTAAAATACAATACAGGCAGGGTACATTCCTTACTATTGCAACACTGGATCACTACTTGTAATCAGTGATGTTAACTTGTTAGCATTTGCAGCTCAAGAATGTGAAGGCAGTAATAAGAATGCTATTTCTGACCCAGGTGCTCTCATTACATTCTATGACCTGCAACCATATGAAGCAGTCCTTATTGCCATACAATCTTATCCCCAGCTTAGTCTGCGAATTTTACAGAAGCCAGATTTTGAAAAATGAGGGTCTTGTGTTGATCTGTAAAAAGCAGATCTTAGCAGTATTGTGAAATTCCAAACTTCAGTAACAAATCCTAATGTATCATTTTCTACTGTTAGTGCAGAGAGGAAAGGATACTCAAGACTCTTACACCGAGTTTATTTAGTAAATGGGACTGGCCAAAACACCGAACCACATAGGGCCGCTAGAATAAAGACAACCTACCCCTTGATACAGCTGTATCAACTAAACATCTTTCAAAATTGAAAGGAACCTTCTTTTTGAAAGTGTACAGTATCTACTGCAAGGAGTATCTGTCTCATGCTAGTACATGCAATGTATTTCACTTACGTATCTGCCAGATTTAGGTCTTCTGTTTTCATAGGCATAGAAAGCTTTGAAAAAGTTAACTATGTAACTTTGAGTTATACTTAAACTTCAGTATTCTAGATGTCTAATTAAGAACATTATGATGCTTTTATCTCAGCTAGAATTAGGCGGAATCCCAAGGCTACTGTTCCAAATAGACACTGCATATTTACAAAGGATATATTAATTATAAAGCAGGGAAACAAGAGGAGAAACTTATGTTAAAAACAATGCAGGGAGAAATAGTTTGTCCCTTTTTAATCTGAGAAGCATTCAGATTTTATGATGCTTTGTACTGTTTTTTTGGGGTGGAGCTAGTTTTCTTCACAGTGGCTGGTATGGGGCTGTGTTTTGGATTTGTGCTGCACACAGGGCTGATAAAACAGATGTTGTTGTCAGGGCTTTGCATGCTGTGACACTGGCAAGAAGGTTCAGAGTGCATGGGAAGCTGGGAGGAGACACAGCCAGGACAGGTGACCCCAAATTACCAAAGTGATATTCCAGACCATATGGCATCAGGCTCAGTATATAAAGTGGGGGGAAGAGGGAGGAAATGGGGAGACGACATTTGGAATGATGGCATTTGCCTTCCCAAGTCACCATTACACATGATGGGACCCTGCTCTCATGGAGATGGATTAACCATGGGAAGCAGTGAATTAATTTCTTGCTTTGCTTGTGTGCACAGCTTTTGCTGTCCCTATTAAACTGTCTTTATCTCAACTCATGAGTTTTCCAGCTTTTACTTTTACTTCCAGTTCTCTCCCTGAATCCTGCAGGTAGGGGAGTGAGTGAGCGGCCAGGTAGGCTTGGCTGCTGGCATGATACCACTTCATACATCCATTGCAATCACCCCACAGCACGTGGTAAGAAAGAAATTTTATCTCTGGCTTTCTAACCCACATTGACAGTCTGCACTGTGATAGACAATCTCAAGATGATGTCATGTTTGCACTAGCTTCTTACTTCTTCAGTAAGATTTTGTTTAAGAAAGAACAAAACAAGGTTACTGAAATAGGGAAGATTTGTACCTGGAATATGCGTTCATGTAAGTAGCTGCAGTTGTTCTTTTGGCTGCACCCCTTTCCAAGATTTGGTAAACTTGATTTTTGTTGTGTACAGTTACTTCCTCCAAGCCTTTAATAATTACACCCCTCTGTCAGAAAGTAATACATGCTTATTATATGTCTCTCAACAACCCTGAAAGCCTCAAGATAACAAATTCTGTAGCATTAACCTTGTTTCGAGGATCATCAAACATCTGCAGTCTTTCTCCGACATCAGGAGTAGGATTCAGAAGATCAAAAAGCTCCTCATTATAGATTTCCAAAAGAGAGACTTTCACTGAAAATTCCGTACCATTCTCTGTGAGTTTTTCAAATATTTGATGCAATGTACGGGGTATGATACCTGCTAGTGGATCCTATAAATTAAAGATAAACATTTAATTTATAAATATACTGAAAGAGATTTGGAGCTAGGCAGTAGAGTTTCAACTAAATAGCCTGACTGGATATAAACCAGACTAGACCTTCCATACAAAAGTCGCCAAGAGTTGAATGCAAGACATGAAAAATGTAAAGTTGTCCTTTTCATATAAATGAATGAGACTATTTGTCAATCTACAAACATTTAAGCAAAGTCAGCTTCAGAATTTGGAAGGCGTCAACTTTTGCTCTTCTTTAGCCTTCTGCAGTTTTCACCTTTGAACTAGAGTACAGACAAGAGAAATCTCAGGAGTGAAAATATACCTCTTCCCAAGTGTATTCTTCATTGGGTGACCGCTCCCCTTCCATTGTGAAGGTCTTACCAGTACCAGTTTGGCCATAGCTGTGAGAATAAAAATAAAAATGTAAACAAGAAACTAAAATACAAATAAAATTTCCTAATACTAATCACTGGCTTACTTACGCAAACACTGTACAGTTGTAGCCCATAATAACTTCATCCAAAATGGGACACACAACACTGCGGTACACATCAATCTGCTTTGCCTGAGCACCAAACACCTATCGACACAAAGACAACACATCTCACTTAGCCATACAATAACGTGTGACACCACACTAAGTACTAGCTTGTTTCTAGAAGTCCCCAGCTTGACAAGCAGTTACCAACCATATCAAACGTGTAAGTCTTCCTTGATAATTTATCTGTCACGCCTCCAGTGCGGACACTGACTTCCTTTCTCGCTTGATCACAGTCTATGACAGCATAGGAGCTTGCTTTAAGTTCAGAGGCATTAAAAGGCCTGAAAGGACAGGAGACAAGAATATTTGATTGAAATCATTTCTATCAAGAACACAGATGAAGCAGTAATGTCACTCAGTTTAAGGATCTCAAATAGTTTAACTGGGCAAAAAGAAGAGAGTTTGTAACTTCATCTGTTTAATAATAGTTTACAAAAAATGCCGCAATTTGGCGGTTTATAGACCCTGTTTCTCCTTTCATACACTGCGAGCCAACTCGGGCATCTGTAGCTTTTCGTTTGTTACATACATATTTTTTACAAGCCTATAACCACTTTCAAGATCATATAGGTGCACACATGGCCAACAGGCATCAGAACATGATCAGTTGCAGGGGGTAGAAGGAAAGCACTTACACATGCAAGTTAATGCAATAGTGAATCAAATGCTGATGACACAACAATCTAAACCGACAAAAATACCAACAGTCCCTACTAATTGCAGGACAGTAATAGCTATAATTATATTTATATATATATACACACATATATATATAATATAACAGTATTGTATAGCTCAGAACCTTTATAATACTGATGCACCTGAATAGTATTTAATAAGACAGACAAAACATCAGATGGTAGGGGCGGGGGGGAAGAAGTTCACATTAATTTAAAGTCAGTCATAGTTAAAAGGTTTAATAGAGGGACAATAAAATTTTTGAACTTTATAGTGAGTATCTTGTTTCACCACTAAGTTAATTCAAACTTGGTGCACACCACTTTCTTAAAGGGACATTTGCCACTACTTCTCCTGAAATGCATGGAAATGCCCTAAAAAACATTAAATCTTATTTTATTCTTCATATCGTAGTGCTACTGCACTGAATGTCAGTGCAGTAATATTTCAAGCAGTCAGCTTGAAAATATAGCTTCTATAATCTTGTACTCCTTAAAATATCTTGACTCTAGAGACACTTTAGATGCTCTTTAAATTATAATGTTAAAGAAAAAAAGACAAGCCACAAGAAAACCAGATGGACATGGCACCTCAGGTTTTCTGAACCTTGTGGCTAACATTTCTTCAATATATCATTGAGGCTGAACTGTCAGATTCTAAACAGAGTATAGGATACTTGGGTGCAAGATCGACTGATGACAACAGAGGACGACCAAAAGCTTGTTCACAGGAGCAAGTTACAGCTTCAGTTTTGTGACTTTTAAAGTAACAGAACAATGAACATATCCTGCTGTGTAACCATGTAATACTGAACCATTCCATGGCAGAAGGTACAAGAGCCCACAGCTGTGATATTAGGGGAACAATTTAGCTGGGCTGAAGCAGGAGATCATCAACATCACCACTACACCAGCAGCTGCCTGGTGTGCCATGGAAACCTTTGATCTCGTGTTCATCTCCTCAGGTATGAAGCACATTACGCAAATTAATAACACTAATGCATGCATTTTGAGTTTTCAAATTCATGTTTGACCAAAGCTCAGTAAATGTGTTGCTTGAAAAGATTTTTTTAATATGCTCAGACTGATCAACTTTTTGGAATAAATTAGGACACCAAAGAATGCAGCTTATCTGTAAGATAAGGAGAATCCGACTTGATGCAGAAGAAAAAAGAGGTGGAAGAAACATTTACTACTCAAATAAACAGAAGCTACTAAAAAACGAACTCTACAAAGGGCAAGAAAGTTTTTAAAGGTTAGAAACTAACTCTTGACATAGCAATTAGCCTATGAGCTAGAACAAAAGCAGAACATTCCACTGTGGACAGTCCTAATGCTACTTTCAAAGTAAGCATTATGTTTAGTTAAAATAGATACTAATACTTGATAAAGCTATTCCAGAACAAGAGAGATGAAAACAGCTGCTCTTGACAGTATTTGAAATTTAATTGCTTCAATAAACATTCTTTTGCAATAGCCTTTACTCACATCAACACTTTCACCAATCCCACACTTGTTTCGGATGCTTTATAGTTGTATTGCAAAGATAAGACTAAATTGATTTTAATTTCTGTATTCATTGTGCATCTGTAAAAGCACAACTCGTAAGCTTGAGAGTTTGACTGCAAAAGGCATAAAAACATAATATGTAAACTAGTATTTGCAGATCTGGCTCAAAAAAACCCCAACTTCTAAAGGTGTTTCAAACACTATATATAATGCATTACCAGTATTACAGTTTTAACATATAATGCTTTAAGATTATTTAAGATCTTGTATCAGTAAGCAACTCTTCAAAGCCACTTCAGAATTACAAAGACAACCTAATTTTATGGTATGTGAAAATTATCACTTCATACCAAAAAGCAAATTCATCTCATCAACCAAGACATTTGGTCATTTTAACTTCAGCAGCAGAACCATTGCTTGTCCCCTGGAAAGCCTGCATCAATGAAGTTATGTGACAGATATATCACAGCGGGCACAACAATTTTAGCTGTTAAAGCTCAGCGACTTCCCACAGGAGCTCACAGAAGGACAAAATACAGTCTGGGTTTTTGTGTTTCTCGAATATCATACTAATTCAACGTAGCTCCTCTTGAGCTTCCTGCGCAGCTTCATACTAGGTGTGCGCTGAACCAAGTTTGGGAATTGCAGCTTTTTGTCTTTTTAAGCTCTAAGAAAGTTCACAACAGCCTCACTTGTGCGGAAGCGCCGCTTCCCTGCAGGGCACACGGAGCCGTCTCAACCGCAGACCGGCACCCGGGACAGGCAACTTCCGGCGCGGTGCCGAGGCCGCTCAGGGGTACGGGCGGCTCCCTCCGGGCAGACAGAGCGATCCCCCGGAGCAGCTATCCGCAGCCGGGTACAGCGGCCCGGCAGAGCCACAGCTGCACAACGCCTGTCACATGGCGGCGGCCTCAGCCAGCCGGCTGTCCGGGGCACCGTGCAGAGAACGTCTGGGCCCGAGTGCCGCAGACACCAAGGCGGGACCGCCCCGGGGCTCGCCCGCGGACCGGCCCCCAACGCCCGCCCAAAGAAGGGCCCCGCACGTACCTGCACCGCACCACCACTTGGATGTTCTTGCCCTTCTCCTCCTTCTTGGGGCCGCCGCCCAGGGAGCCAAAGGCAGCCATGGCGGGACGAGACCGGGACCGAAGCGCTGCCGTACAGCCAGAACTCGGGCCAGCCGCGCGCGCCGCCGCCAGCGCCGCTTTGAACCGCGCACCGCCCGGCCCGGCCAATCAGCGGCGGCCCCGGGGCACCACGGGACGGATTTCAAATCCTGGGGGTGGCGCGCGCCAGAGCGGCGGCGCTGTCCCATCCGGCCCCGTGAGGTAGGCGGGGGAGAGTGGGCCGCGTTCCCCGAGTCCCTGCGTCACCGGGCCTGCCGAGCAGTGGCGCGCTACCTGATGTCCACCCGTACCTGCCAGTACCGCGAGGGGCCACTGGGACAATGCCTGGCCTCCTCTGCGGCTGTCGCTGACACCCACGGGTCTGAGGGCAGGCAGCCGAATTCCTCGCCTGCCATCAGTCTTCAACACTCACATCGTCCATATAACCCTTTCTCACAGGTCAAGCCCTCCGGTCATCCGTTCTTCTATCCCCCTTAGCTCTCCAGCTGGCCCACCGTCTCTTTAAACATTACGACAAATACGCATACCTCGCCAGTGCCTTGAGGAGTGGAAAAGTTGCATGGCCTATTTAATGCTCAGGTTTCTACTTGCACGGTGGGGCACAGCACTCGCCACTCCCAGCAGAGCGCCTGCTGTGCCCTCGGCTGGAGGTGCCCCAGCGCAGGGCGCCAGGCAGACTCTGCTCCTTCTGGCCGTGCCTGCAGAGCCCTGCTCTGCTCCTTCTGTGCCTTAGGCATGCTTAGCTCAGGTAGGTCTCCAGCATAATTCCTCTGTCAGTCTGAATTCCACACCTCACTTTCAACGCATTAACAGGTTGGTATTGCCTTATTGAGTAGTGGGAAAATCCTATGTAAGAATGAAAATAAGTAGTTACAGGGCTCAGGACAAAGCACCACAGGTGCACCACATCCATCCTTTTACTTTGAAACTACATCATGTGAACAACTTTGCCATTTATATCACCCTGGCTTCCCTGTGAGAGCTTCCTCTGAGGCACTATTAGATGCTTTGCTAGGTAGAGATCTATGACAGAATAACAGATGTTCTGGGTAGAGAGAAGAAGCAGATATTAGAGGAGATTCAAATCGCTTGATGTGTTTTGTTAAATCTGTACTGGCTCCTACAGACTGTTACCTATCTGTTACAGCCGACAGCAGTTTGCTCTTGTTCTAGGACCTTTGCAATTTCTGAAATTTAGATTGCCCATCTATAATTTTGCAGGTGTCCACATCCTTTTTCTCCCCTAAAGTTAGCTGCTTTGAATCTTATTATATTTCTTTCTTCCATGAGTTCTTAAAGTTAAGAACAAATTAATCCTAACCCATAGGGCTTGCAGTAATTTTCCTGATAGTGACATGAAGCAACATCCCATTACGCTCCTCTACCATTTACCTGAAGAGTTAGAACAATGTCAGAGCCAACCACTCTTACATCAGGCACAAAGAATAAACAACAAACACTAAAAATCACAGTAACATATTTTGCTTCAGCTAAGTAAAGATTTAATCAAGCAGGAAAATAAATATAATCCATGGCAAACATATTGAGACCACTTATATTATTTGCTTTTTTTGTATTCCATCCATGCTAACAGCAAAAATCACTTGTACTGACAATTGTGTAGTAGCTACTGCTAGACTGAAAAGTCAAATGCAGGTATGCAAATAATCTAAATATTTACCTTTTGCTCTACATTCCTTGATATGGATCACTCAAAAGAAGGCAGCACTGGAACACAAGAGTTCCTCCAACTTCTGCTTGTTTGCTCTTTTCTAGTATGAAAGTCATATTTTTCATCAAAATATAACATCTCTCACAGACACAGAGATCATTAAAACCTGCATTGAAACTATAAGTATTTATTTGATTACTGAAAGTTAAATTTGGCCAATAGCTACCTTTGCTATAGCTGTGGTAAGTGGAAAACATGTATTTCTGGTAATCAAGTTAGCGTAAAAAAGCATAGTTTAATGACTGCAAGTCTGTTTTACAAGGTCAGTTTATAGCATAGGTTGTACATTTTCTTAGACTAGGTAGAGCCTAATGATACTAATACTCTATAAACACAGACTGAGTAATAGGGAGCTAGCATTTCACAAGCAATAAAAATAAATATGAGAATAAGGAAACAAGAATATTTAGGCCACAGTCTTAACAGTTGTTTGGAGAATGACCTTTAAGAAGACAGGTACTTCATCTGTGGCAAATGTTTTATTTTGTTGCAAGAGAGACAAAAACATTACAGAAATCTAAATTTTATAATAATACACACAACAGCAAATGTAACAATTTCAGAAGAGTATTAATCCCCACGTATGGATCAAGAAGGACAATTTTTAACTAAGGCTTGCAAACAAAAAGTCGTTGAATACAATTACATTCACAGACAAAACAAACACTGTTTTCCTAAGGCCTGTATCAGGTCACCTGGGGAATTGTAGGTATGAAGGCCTGAAAAGCAGTAAAATTGTTTACATGGAACATGATTACCTACGAATGAAGACAGGTTATATAAGGTATAATAGTGGAGAGATATAATTAATACAAATTATAAGGTTGGGTGAGACTTCTTCAAGGCTTAGTAACACCTGATTTGATTGCCAATATGCTACACAGTGTATCAACTGTACTGAGCATGTGGAGAGTTAAATATTTAATACTATCAGTGACACAGTAAAAAAATTGCTGATTAATTTTATATTCACTTTAAAGGGGAAATCACCTGCACCTTAGATAAACATAAAGCAAATTCTAGCCTTTGAACAGCCTGACCAGTTGGCCATTAATATTCTAAACTCTGTGTTGTCCACATACAGTAAGTTTAAACAACAAGGACTTACACAGAGTACTGGTATATTTGCAGTTGAGGACAGGGCTCTCCTTCAGTCAAGGTAAAAAGATAACTATGTCACTGTTAAAAGAAAAGAGAAAATGCAATAAAATAACTACCTTGTTGTTAAAAATTAAGGACTCAAGGCATATAACAGGATTAAAACCAGAACTGGTTTCAACTAACCAAGAAAATACACAGAATAAGAGAGTTCTTCTTTTCAGTGTGTGTGCCAGACCACTGTCCAACACAGACGGTAGCACTTCTACAACTTTTTATAGTCATTGTAATAAAAAATAAGCAGCAACACAGGGGGATGTATGCATTTGTGTGATTAGCTCAGAGTTAAGCTAGTAATTTTCCATACAGTTACCTATTTTCAGTTAAGACGTGCAGCTGGATGACATCCTTTACGTAACAAGAAAAGAAACAATGAATGGGAAAATTGGAAACACACAGACTTGACAGCACTGACTGAAGTAAACAGTAACTGTCTCTTTTGTCTCATTATCTTTTAACTTAATTATTTTATTAATTTAATTTTATTCTTCCAGTATTTTTATACTGGGAACAGCCAATAGACAATCCTTTTCTCATATATGTCTTGTCATGAAATTGCTGCTATTTATTTTGGAGTGGAAATAACAATCGTAAGTTACGCTTTTTTTTCAGCTCAAAGCCAGTTTGCTACAAACCTCCATTATATATAAATACAATTTGAATTTTGTCCAGAATTTTATCTACGTGGAAAGGACATGCTTCCATTAGAAGCCTAACAAGATTGTAGTTAAGAGTTTCACTCTTACTGTCTCTCAGCTTTCAGGCCATACAAAAAATACTGGTTTATTCTAAATTATTTTAACCTACCTATTTTGAAGATCACTTTCCCTCACAGTACATTTATGTCACGTATGCTGAAGAGGGATCTCTACACTGCTACTTCCTAAGGTTTTTTCATGCGAATATTTGAATAATTTCCACACTTACTCTAAATTATAAGTAGGCTTATTTGGTCTTTTGGGCAACATTTATTTTTCTAGTAGGGCAGATGAAGAAGGCAGGACCAAAAGCACCATTGTTTACGAGCAATTAAAGTTTCATGGGGAAGAAATCTTAGTTGCAGGACCAGACTGAGAAAGGAATTTCACTGAAAGTCCTCTTTAGTTTTGCTGAGGGTGTCCTATTAAAAATATGTTTAAAACATGGAAAAGACATCCAAAACAGCATATGACTGTAATTTTGGCTAGTATAAATGGACATAGAGAGGGGTCAGAGTATAAGAACACAATCTGATTTGAATAAACACCAGTGTGTCCTGATTTTGGCTGGAATAGAGTAGATTTCTTCTCAGTAGCTGGCACAGTGCTGTGTTGTGGATTCAACACAAGAATAACTTACTCATGTCTTGGTTGTTGCCAAGTCGAGTTATCCTGCATCAGGGACTTTATTGTGTCTCATTCTCTGCTAGTGAGGAGGTGCAGGGGAGAAAAGAAACAGGGAGGGAGCATAGTCAGGACAGGTAACTTAACTGGCCAAAGGGATATTCCCCACCATAAAACTTCATTCCCAGAATATAAACTGGGATTTATATTACCAGTTACCCAGAAGGGCCTGATCGGGCCTGGGGGCAGGATCTGGCATTGGTTAGCAGGTGGTGAGCAATTGTATTATGCATCACTCATCTTTTTCTAATCATTACTATGATTATTTACTATTATTATTATAATTTCTTTTGTTTCAGTTACTAAACTATTCTTATTTCAACCGTCAAGTTCTACTTTTGATTTTCCTCCCCATCACACCAGGATGGGTGGAGGGGAGGAAACTGCTGCATTATCCTTAGTTCCCGGCTGGGGTTAAACCAGAACACACCAGTTACTTTGAATAGCCGCTAAATAAGCTTACAATGGATAAAATAGGTGTAAAGTACAGTAGGCGTGACCTCTATTGCATACCTCTGCTGCACTAGCTATGTTAGATGCATGAGGAGGTGTGATCTTTCATCACATCACAGAAACAGAAGTGCTTGTTTTAGATTCACGTTTTAGCAGACCGCCAGAATCTTCCTGGCACAGTCTACCTTGTTTGCCCAGGATTGCCCCTGTATATACTAGGCAAGATTTAGAGAAAAAGGCAGGATTTATTAGAGCAGCTAAATATAGATCAGACTAGCATTAGCTAAATATATAGTACATTAGGCTAACAAACTCGCTGTCGGGACCCGAAAGAAAGAGTAAAATGCCTGAAACTGCAATTCTATAGCATTCACCCCTACGTGACAACTGTATTAACACCAAAGGCAGAAGTATTTCTACTGTATATTCAATTTAACAAAACGACTCCAATTCACAACCTCTTAATCCCTCTGCTCCTGAATGGGAGGAGACAGATTGTGAAGGGGCACTCACCCAGCAGTCCTTCTGTCACACACCATGGGATGAGCCTCTCTGACGCACTGGCAATAGCAACAGGGTGGAATTCAGATTTAACAGCTCACCATCTATTCTGTCCTCTTTCTGTCCAGCTTGGTCTTCACTTTTACATGCACTAGGAACTGGAAAAAACCCAGACTGCCTCAAACTAGAATCCCATGAGGACATTTTCACAGGAGTTAACATACTGTGTTAAAATTAGGCACCCACACAGTTCTAAATCCAAGCAGTTGATTGAGGTGAAAGCTACCAAATGCCTTGCTCCAACCAGGATGAGTTAACTTGAGAGACAGTTCCATGTCTAAACTGAGGCCAGAAGTGTGGGTGTACTTAATGTAGGCAGAAATGTTTTAAACTGGGTAGCTCAGGTAGGGGTAAGAGCATCTCTATAGCAGCACAGACCTCCCTGGAAACCAGCAGATGAACGTCTACCCAAATTCCCTGACAAATTTTCACGATTCCCTGTTGATTCTGCTGACCATATGAAGCAGTGTGTTGCCACTTCTTAACAGCAATTTTAACCAAAGCCGACTAAAGTTTAAAGTTACTTCTGATACCTCTTCAATTCCATCTTTGAGTACAGAAATAACCTTCAGCAACTCTTCTGGCCATGTCTTTCTACCTTTTTATGACAGGAGGGTTCTAGGAATTTCCAGCTGTGAGACACCACCTTTTATAAAAGGCAAGCAGTCGGGAAGCTAAAGTCAGGCATTAAATGTAGCACATTGTTTTTGTCTTACTTTTCTTTCCCTTCATAACTCTGAAAGATAAGACATAGAAAGCATATTACCAGAACTTCAAACAGTGGGGTTTTTTTTTCTGAGGGGATAACAACTTGTAGGTTGTTTTCTGCGGTATTTTTTTTCGGGGGGGTGTTGTGGGGGTTTTTTTTGGTTTTTTTTGTTGCTGTTTGTTTGTTTTTTCAATTTAGAGGTTTGTTTTTTCTTAGAAAGGAATTAATGCAACCAGCCACATCCATTACTTTCCCATAAGGAAATCTACCAAGGAAAAAAAAAATCGCCCTAGGACCCCAAATCTATGGTTTTATAACAGAAGTTCAACCTTATCCAGCATTTACACCTCGTAAACTCATCCTGCGAGGCGAGTCCTGTGTCCGGCGCGGCCGCAGAGCTCCGCGGCAGGTGAGCAGCAGGCAGCGGGCTCCAACGGGAGCTCCCGAAGGAGAGGGAGCTGCCGGAGGGTGACCTCTCCCTGCCGGACGGAGGATTTTGACACCCGAAATCTCTGCCTCTCAGGACAGCACTGCACCCACCGTGCTCAAATTACGAGGCGTCTAATTTCCTTTTGTCTTGGCAGACACCGCCAAGGACGCGGTGCGCGGCCACCAGGAAGCGGGCGGGCCGCGACACGGTCCCTCCGCGGGTGCAGCCCGGAGCCGCCCCGCCACCCTTCGCGCCGCAGCCCCGTCCGCCTCCGCCGGGCGCGGCCCCCCCGCCGCGGCGAGTGTCGCCCCGGCTCCCCGCCCAGACACCCACCCCCTCCACCGCCTCCGCCTCCTCCCAGAGGCCCCCGGCCCCCCTCCCCAGCCGCAGCCCCGGCCCTCCCGGCGGCAGAGGCGGCAGCTCCCGGCACCCCCAGGTACGGGTCCCGCCAGGCCCGGGCGCGGAGGGCGGACGGGACCCCGCGGGCGCCGGGAGGGATTGGCCGGGCGGCGAGGGGAGGCGGGCGGAGAACATGGCGGCGGGGAGCGGCGCGTGCTGAGGCGAGCCGAGCCGGGCCGGGCGGCAGCGGGGAAAGGCCGGTGCTGGCGGCGGGGCCGCCAGGGATATGCGGCAGCGGCTGTTCCCTGTGCTGAGCCGGGCTCTGCCGGGCTGGACGCGCCCCTGGGCCGCCCTGGCCTCGCGCTCTTTCCCTCAGGGCCGGCGGCGCAGCTCTCTCGGGTACGGTGCGAGTGCGGCGGGGCCGGGGCAGGGCCGCGGGTCCCGGGGCCGTGTGACCCGGGGCGAGAGGCCGGAGAGCCCCCGCGATGTTGTGTAAGAGGCGGCGGCGCAGCCGGGAGGGGGCACCTTGTGAGTCCAGGGGAGCGCCCGCCCTGCCCCGAGTGCGGCGGGGAGCCGGGGGAGCTCGGGCCGCGGAGCGGGACTGGCGCCGGAGCCTTCCGGGGAGGCGGTGGGCGAGATGGGGGCGGGGGGCCGTGTGTGCCGAGAAGGCCTGAGCCCTGCCGTGTGTCCTGCCTTGTGTCCTGCTCTGCTGCCCTGCTCTGCTGCCCGGGAGAGCCCGGACTGCCGTGCTCCGGTGTTTGTAGCTGCACTTCCTTTGACAAAGCAGGCTTGGTCATCAGCCGTGCGGCTTTCGTTGCCCGGGGGCCTGCTTTGTTGTTCTCCTTCCTTCTCAAAAAACATTAGTGAATTGTCGCGTTACTTAACTTGCCATGGCAAGTTCTTCTTAAGGCATAATTATGTAAAAAAAAAAGGAAAAACTCTTAAAATCTTTACGAAGAGACTGCCATCAGTTGCCCAAACTTGATGGGAGCGGCCTCTTCAGTTTCTGAGGAGTTATCTGGCACTGGCATTGTGCGGGGCTTGTTATTGCGTGTCTGTGTTACCGTTGTCACCAACTCCAGTGGGGAGAGCGCAGCTAACCTCGGTCAAGGGAGGAGCGGGCGGGAGGCTTGGCATAACTCACTTTAGAGGCAATTTAAACTGCGTAACGACTCGGTAAAGTTGGTCCGGGAAGGAAGCTAGGGTAAGGGACAAAGGCTAAGTTGTTTTCTTTCTTTCATTAACACTGTATCTGTTACCTTAGTAGCCAAACCTATTTTTAATACCGCACAAGTTAGAGACGTCAAAAGTAGCATCTTTCCGGGGAAAAAAGTGAGTTATGATGACTCATACTGTCGGCGCTCGTGTGTCAAAATTCGGATGCACTGTTACTGTTCATTATTGCTATTTATGCTTCAGAATTGTAAAGGTAATCCACAGTGTATGTTCGAAGCCAATGCTTTTCTCGGGCCGTAGTTTGTCTTGCTAGATTACTCCTCTTTATGCATGTGCATATATGCAGTATTTGTACTTAACTTTATGTATGTGAGTAGGCCTGTTATGTTTTCATACCGCCTACAACCATGATTTAATCATCCATTTAATTTTAATTGTGAATTAGGATTTACATAAATGATAATGAAATGAGACCAGGCATAGTTCTTTCATGTGATGATTTTTTTGAGATGTGAAAACTAAGAATCTTTTTTTGAGTTACATGTTTCCTGTGGTCCATCTCTGTATTTTGTCATGCTTGAACTTTTTCCTTTCGTAGCATTTTAAAAATTCATCTCTATGTCGAGTAGCAAGATAATTTCTCAGTTACAGCTTAACTCCTTTTGATGTACAGCATTAAAATTATCTATTCTAGTTGGGAAGTCCCTAGTAGGATTTCTGTTTCTATGTTTGCCTGCTTTTTTTGCACGCTTTCTCCTTTCTGTCTTCAGTAAGTGTAGGGCTGTGGTTTAATCCCTTGGATGAAATGGTACCTTTGGGAATTGATTGAAGTGTCAAGTATATAACTTACTTTGCACATGAATACAGAAACACTCCCCTCCCTGTTAGATCCAGAAGAAAGAGAGAAGGGACAAGAAGTTCATGACCTCTGGTGTTTCACTGTACTGGAAGGTATTAGGCTCCTAGCTATAGGGGTCATGGCTGGTTATTGTAGAAGTCGTTTACTAAAAATGCAGTCAGACCATTTGAGAAATGGCATGTGGGGTTGGTATTTTGGATGTATTAATTCTATTGTATTAGATGCTTTTATAGTAACTTTAGTGTCTGATCTTTTAACAGCATAGAAATCAAAAAGCTCATAATAAAAATCTAGAGAAATTGCTTTAATCAGTTTTGAGTCTAGTTGTGTATTTATGTATGCGCGATCTGTCAGTGAGTTTCTTTGCTTTCACCTTTTATGATGCCCTTAAGATGCTAAAATATTCTTATCAGATAGCACTGTATGTATATAATAAGGTGATTTTTTTCTGGATCCTGTTTGAAAGTTGCTTCACTACAGCTTTCTATTAAAATCTTGATTTTAGAATGAGTCAGAGCTATAGCTTGCCTGAACAATTGATATGGAAAAGAATGCTGTAGGGCTGAGAGTTTATTTATAATTTTAACAGTAAAACCAGAATTGAATTGTCCAAAATAATAAAAACTAAACTACAAAATAGTTGAACAGCCAGGACTTCATTTGTTGAAACACACCGCTGACTCTTGTAAACTGCTCATTGTTACGGGTTTGTTGCTCATGTCAAAGCTCTAGTGTTAGATAAACAGTTGCTTTTAATGTGGGATTACAGTGCTTTTAATGATTCAGAATTCTAACATTCTCTCTGTTTTTGTTGCTAGATCAGATTTCCTTGCCAGTTCTCTCATCTTTCTGTGAATTTCTTGTTGTTATGCAGTATAACTGAAGTTTTAGTCTCATCTTGTTTTTTGGTTGTTGGTTTTTTGTTTTTTTTTTAAATTCAAACCTCACAAGTTTTTCTTGTTGAGGGTATGAGACAGATGGTAGCATAAAGCATTAAGTGAGTTGGTTTTACAAGGAATTTTGGGCAATCTGATGTGCTACCTGCACATAAAATCTATGAAATACACATCAGAACAAGTTAGAATAAAGCACAGAGGTCTCTCCTGTAGCATCCAGTTTAACATTTCCCCCTGTGTGTGCAGGGCCATGTGCTAGACACCATCACAATCCTGGGGTTGTGGAGCAAGCCCTGCAACTGTAGAGTGATAGAAAAATGTCAGAGGGGGAGGAAGAGAGAATGAGAAGCACTGGTCTGCAAGTATTCAATGAATAAAGCAATTGAATGAATGAGTGCATTTCTTAGGAAAATAAGTAAAATATGCCTAGAAACAGTTGGTCACGTAGCACAGAAACTAGTCTGATCAGTCATGTCCTTAACATGCAATTTGAAAATACTGATGTAAGACAAATTGCTATGCCAGATCTGTGAAAATTTTAATGATGCTATATTTTAAGGACATCTAAAGATTAAAACCAGATAATTTTACTTACCCCCCTCTCCTTCTCCAGGTCTTCCAAGTAATCAAAGGCTTCAAAACCCTTTTGGAATTTTGTAAAATGTTGAAGAAAGAATTGTTAGAGAAAGTGTAATTATTCTATTTCTGGTGAATGTGGTTAGAGCTTACCTTGGAGGCTGTGTTTGGATGAATTGTTTGGGGCAATTTTTGAGGACATAGGAAAAGTAAGCTCAGGTTATTTAGATATTAAAAAACAAACTTGTTTTCCTTTATTGCTCTGTATAACATCAAATTGGATAATGTCCTGCCTTTTTGTTTGACTTTTTTACCCAGTGCTTTGGAAACTGTGGAGTGGTCAAGTTAAACACTGTAGATGTAGGGCAGTAGATTAGCTTTATGGTGTCTGAGTGTATATCCAATCTCGTTTGGCCAGCACATCATTGTACTTTTCAGGCCAGTTACTCAGCTGGGGCCTGATCTCACGTGTGACACTGCCAGGGCCCTTGTTTTTGCCAAGGTAACACGTGGTGTGGTCTCATTAATGCTTCTGGTAATTCTTGTACCTCGGTGTTACACGCCAGTGTTTGTGCTGTCACGTTGGCACCGCAGCCTGTGGCAGACCAAGTTTTACTGCTGTGATCTAGGAGTTGTGGAAGCAAGAGCACGGCAGGCATCTGCCCTGGCCACCATCGTGAGAAGGGAATTTTCTGAGTCAATTACAGGCTTGGCAAAAAGCTGCAGACTGAGGTTCTGAAAATGCTTTAATTGTAGCGAGACTTTAGAATTTCTTTAAAATGAACTACATAACAAAACCTTATAAATATTCATCGTCTTCAGACTTGCCTGATTTGGCATGATTGGTTGTTCTTAATAACTTGGGAGCACTGATTAAATCATTGTGGGACTTTGTAGTTGGATCTTTTGTGTATGAAGTAGTATGCTGAATTCCTGATTAGCTTAAAAGTGATAAAACATGTTAACATTTTGAGCAGTTCATCTACTTACACAGTCTGTCTGCCTGTCATGCAATCAGAATTATTTAGATCAGTATCAGGAATGTGTTGGGATCTCATACATTCTCCAGCTTCATGACAAGCAAATTCACACAAGATTGATGTTTATGG